GGTCGCGGACGTACCCGTGCAAGATTCCCAGCAGGTAAGAGACCAACACTTATCAATGCCTCAACTAACCATGATTGCAGGCCGTGTTTCTCTTTTTTCCCAGAATTGGGCAAAACTGTCCACAGATGCTTGGGTACTGCAGACGATCAAGGGGTACCACATCGAATTGCGAACGCCCCCCATACAGAAGTACCCTCCTCGTCCTTTATGCCTCTCAGCTTCAGACGCTCGCCTCATAATAGCGGTGCTCCGCGAACTACACACAAAGGGCGCTATACAACCCGTACACGAACGAGGAGGCTTCTTCAGCAATATGTTCCTCGTATGCAAGAAAACCGGGGATTTCAGGCCGGTGATCAATTTAAGAAAACTGAACGTCCATGTGACCTACCGTCACTTCAAAATGGAGGGCATACACTTACTGAGGGACCGCCTTCAAGAAAAGGATTCGTTTACACGCCTAGACCTCAAATCACATACTTATCGATCCCAATTCACAAGGACAGCCGTCCCTCCCTCCAGTTCTAATGGAACGGCTTCCCGTGGCAATTCACGTGCCTCCCTTTTGGGTTTGAGTTCTGCACCATGGTGTTACACAAAAATGTTGAAACCAGTGGTGACACACCTCAGGACTCACGGGATCAGATGCATCATTTACCTGGACGACATTCTCTTATTCTGCTGAACAAGGGAACTGGCCGTACAACATACCGATTATACAGAACGATTATTAGAATCCCTGGACTTCGTTGTCAACAGGGCCAAATCTGCAATGAACCCCGTACAGAAACTCCAATTCCTGGCCATCAAGAAAGAGATCCGCAGAGTACTCAAACTAGACTCCATTCTGCTCCGCCTACTGGCACGGATCGTTGGCCTACTTTCATCATCGATACAAGCCATATTTCCAGGCCCTCTAGATTACCGTGCCATGCAATGGTTGAAGGCCCACTTCCTGCGATGGAACCCCACGTACAACCAACCAGTTCCGCTGACGGACGAAGTACGCCAGGAACTCGAGTAGGGGCTCAACTGTATGCAAGCTTGGAATGGTCGGGCCATCTTCGGCAACCACCTGGACTTTGTCCTGGAATCGGACGCGAGTCGACTGGGATTGGGTGCCACGGATGGAGAAGCATCCACGGGAGGAATGTGGACAACCCAAGAACTCTTGATGCACATTAACTGCCTGGAACTACTAGCAGGGTAATTTGCTATACGCAGCCTAACGAAAGGGCAATCCAACTGTTGTATACTTCTCCAGATCCTGCCTTCCCCCCCCCCCACAGCCCCTGCGTCACCCATTCTCAGGGCCTACATCACTCACCACAGCCCCTGTCCCCTCTCTAAGCCCATGTATCCTGATTTTGCCCCCACCACAGCTCCTGTCTACCCCTCTCAGCCCTTGTGGGAGAGAGCAACAAAAATCCAAAAACAAATTCTACAATTCGGTGGGGGGGGGGGATGGGTCAACATACATTTCTGCTCTGGATGCCAAATAACCTTGATGCATTTCTGATCCAAAGGCAGACATTTTACTGAGGAAGTAATATAGCTCACAAAAATATATAACTTTTATAGTTACTTTTGTCTTCTCCTCTGCTTGTCACTTTCAAAAGTACAGGGAAACTAAATGAGGGAGTTTATAAGAAAAACTTCCTTTCTGGTTAACACCTTGATGTCATTTACGAGCTGTCTAATGTGCACAAACTATTGCAAAATATTGCATTGGATTTCACAAACATATACTTGTTTTGTCACTTCTTTCATTAGACATAGGTGTATACAACTAACGTAATCCTAAGAACGTAGCCAATAAAACATAAAGTTAGAGAAGACAGACAGATACTACTATGTATAAAGTGTTAGAAAATTAGACATTTTAAAAAATAGTCAGAGTAAAAAATGTAGCTGACTTGGACATTTTTGGACTTTATCTATTTTGGCTTAAAAAATGAAAATCTAAATGTTATTTTGTAGGATCATTCACTGGAATTTTAGTTAGATATTATCAGAATTACATAATATTATTGTATTTATATATAATACATCCATGTTAAATCAATATATATATATATTGTGATGTTCAATCTCAGAGTATTAGTCTTTTATAGTTGGTTTATTCTCATTTATTCTTATTGTCAAAATATCCTGCCTGAAAAAATGAATGAGCAGGTAAAGTTTTCCAATTTGATCTAGAATTTGCACTTCTAATGTCAAAACTATGTTCCTCCAAGTTTAGGGTATATTACCTTTACCTGCTTTGAGGTATTATTGTGTCTATTGGGTTTATTTATTAACCACCAAACATTTCAGAATAGAAAACAAAACTTATATAGCCAAATAGGGTGTAATCTTAAATAAGTGTTCTATAGTGCAGCCTAAAAGACAGAATCCCCTCTTAAAGTTCTACAAATATGATATATAAAAAATGGTATACAATGCATATATACAAGTAGTAATCTACAATGTATGACCTATGCACTAGGTGCAAAAATAGTTTATCAAATAGTGCAATCACAACACCTTATAGTGAAGGGTGTCTATAATAATAATAATAATAATAAATCTGTTACCTGGAGCGGATATGATGGTATAAATGTTGGTACTCCGTATTTTGGTAACAGAAAAAGAGGGGGAAAAAACAAAGGGGAACTTATAGTGTACTATTTATTATAACAATATATGTGCAAACAGAAAAAAACACACTCACAATTTAAAATGGCACAAAAGAAACATTTTGTGCAAAAAAGAGCCTTGCCTCTAGTGGAGACACTTATCTCCAAATAGATACAAAACCCCAAGCCTAAAGTCCTTTAAAAGATCCCTCTCTACATACCTCAAAACAGAATGCACCTGCCATGGTTGAATATATATTTCCTACCTGTTCTATGTTACATTTTGTATTTATTGTGTATTAATATTGTTTTTGTATTTTATTGTACCCTAATGTAACAATGCAATGATTTGTGTACCCAGGACATACTTGAAAACAAGAGAAATCTCAATGTATCTTTCCTGGTAAAATATTTTATAAATAATAAATATTTTGTGAGTCCTGTGGAGTCTTGCGGGTCCTAGAACGCCAAAAGACACACACTTCTCATAAGTCCAAACTCGAAATGTAAATTTGGAATGGTGAAGCACTCCTTTTCACAGGCTTGTCTAAGAGTCTTTATGCAGTCAATATTAGCTCAACGTGTTTCGTCCGTAGAAATAGACTTCTTCAAAAGCTGTTTTCCATCATACTCCTTGCTTGGTTTAAATATCACACTGTGGGGTGTCCCCACCCACATTAATTTCTGTAATCTATGTCATCTGTCCATTGGGTGTAATAGCGCACATCTCAGACGCTGCTGGAAGGAAGATGTCTAAGCGTCCATCCGTCCACGATTTTTACGTACACGCATCCCCTAACACTTGCGATAAAGTCCACTTGAATTTCTAAACTTTATTCAGATATCCATAATAACATTCAATCTTCTAAAGAGGGATAGAAATGGACATAGTTAATATATGCACCCTCTAGGGTTTGGGAAAATCTGAAATCCAAATTAGATATTCTAAAAAAAAAACATTTAAAGGGACACTATAGTCACCTGAACAACTTTAGCTTAATGAAGCAGTTTTGGTGTATAGAACATGCCCCTGCAGCCTCACTGCTCAATTCTCTGCCATTTAGGAGTTAAATCCCTTTGTTTATGAACCCTAGTCACACCTCCCTGCATGTGACTTGCACAGCCTTCCATAAACACTTCCTGTAAAGAGAGCCCTATTTAGGCTTTCTTTATTGCAAGTTCTGTTTAATTAAATTTTCTTATCCCCTGCTATGTTAATAGCTTGCTAGACCCTGCAAGAGCCTCCTGTATGTGATTAAAGTTCAATTTAGAGATTGAGATATAATTATTTAAGGTAAATTACATCTGTTTCAAAGTGAAACCAGTTTTTTTTTTTTCATGCAGGCTCTGTCATAGCCAGGGGAGGTGTGGCAAGGGCTGCATAAACAGAAACAAAGTGATTTAACTCCTAAATGACAGTGAATTGAGCAGTGAAATTGCAGGAGAATGATCTATACACTAAAACTGCTTTATTTAGCTAAAGTAATTTAGGTGACTATAGTGTTCCTTTAATACTAAAAAATCTTCTTGTATAGATTTTTTTATATTAATTGTTTTTTAGTATATCGGGGGGACGCTTAGATGTCTTCTTCCCGCAGCGTCCACGGTTGCGCGATTACGTCCGATAGACACATGACGTAGGATACAGAAATAAAAGTGGGCGGGGACAACCCGCAGCGTGATATTTAAACAAAGCAAGGATTATGATGGAAGACAGCTCTTGAAGAAGTCTATTTCTACAGACGAAATGCATCGAGCTAATATTGACTGCAAAACACTCTCAGGCAAGTCTGTGAAAAGGAGTGCTTCACCATTACAAATTCCAATTTCGAGTTTGGACTTACGAGAAGGGTAAGTGTGATTGCACTATGTGATAATAAACTTTTTTTGCGCCTAAGGCATAGGTCATACATTGTAGAAAACAAAACTTATCAGCATCATGTTCTGATTTGGCAAAATTCTCCAGTTTGGCTACAATCACAGCTAAATTTTGCAATTTGGTATTCAATTCACTACAATGTTGTTTTTAGTGTATACATCCTGTAGTCTTTTTTCTTTCAACCTCGTAATGTTACTGGAAGATACTCACAACCCTGTATTGCCAGATTTGATTAATTATTTGAGAGAGTGCATAAAAAAAGCATTGTTCTATTCCTAAAACATTGCGTGTGTTACCATAATTGTGAATGTGAAATTATGAACTGCATATAAAAACTATGCATACGTTTTTTGGGTAGTACAAGAAGTGGATGAATGATTCCCTATATTTAACAGATATGTATTTGTTAGTAGTGATGTCCCGAACTGTTCGCCGAACGGTTCGCGAACGGTTCGCCGCAGACTCATCATTGAGTAAACTTTGACCCTGTACCTCACAGTCAGCAGACACATTCCAGCCAATCAGCAACAGACCCTCCCTCCCAGACCCTCCCACCTCCTGGACAGCTCACTAAGAATGCAGCTTCACAATGGATGCTGTCCAGGAGGTGGGAGGGTCTGGGAGGGAGGGTCTGCTGCTGATTGGCTGGAATGTGTCTGCTGACTGTGAGGTACAGGGTTAAAGTTTACTCAATGATGAGTCCGTGGCGAACCGTTCATGGCGAACCGTTCGCGAACAGGTCGGGACATCACTATTTGTTAGATGTGGAAAAAAAGATACATGTAGAGATTCACACCTCTTTAACCTGCAAACGGGCGCCTCCATCTTAACTTCCTGTCTATCATTATTATAAGCTCTGTCCTTTGCATCTGGCAGTCAGCACAGAGAAAGCATACAGAGAAGAAGTTAAATGAAAAATCAGGGAAGATTTATTAAAGTGGTCTTTAATAAAAAATGGTTTAATGTACAAAAAGTGGAGCAGTCATCATGGAAACCAGTGGAACCAGCAGGCATATTCCATTGGTGACTTCTCCCACTTTATATTTTTGAACTACTTTTTAGACCAGAATTATATCAAACAGTTCAGCTTTAAGATACTGTTGCTGATAAGCTGTTGCATAAAAGTGGATTACAAGCCTGCCTCTTCTGAGGCCTGTCAGAAAAAGCAATATGGCCAATTTCAATAATTATGTTGATAATTTTGTATTATAATAGCACATCTTTTCACTCAACTTAAAGGGTTACTCGATTTCAGTGATTTGAAGTTGCCTGGAGTAACCTGAAACACTGCACATATCAAGTTTAACAGTCATGGCCTGTCATCAGCTAAAGTTCCGGGCTGGCAAAATGTAAAATTGTTTGCACAGTGTGCGATTCATTGTCTGTGAACAGTCAACTGACACTGTCTGCCAATGAATGGCAACCTGATAGGCTTCTGTAGGCATAGCAACAGAGGACCTTGGAGCCTGGTAGCAATTCAGGAAAGCTTACTAAACGGTTTGCTCCATTACCAGCGAACTAGACAGGATACTCCTGGCATCATAACCACTACAGTAGGCTGTAAGAGGCATTATAACATGTAAGAAAGCATTTTTTAAATGTCTGTCAAGTGAAGAAAATCAGTCTTTAAAATAAATTTATTTTAAACCATTTCTCGTTTAATTCTGCACTCTGCAGGCTTTGATCAAGTTTTTGTAGCAAATATACTCACATATATCATCCATTTCAAGCTGAGGTAACAAGCTGGTCATAGATTCATACAGTTCACCAGGATTAAGGGAACATTTCATCAACAGATCAGTAGAGGAATTGGCCATGCACTCATATATAGTATTGTTTTCATCCTCGTCGCCGCTAGGCATCAGCTGTTCTTTAATGTGAGTCCTTAGCATGTCAGCTGTTTCCTATAAGAAATACAACAATATAATAGGATCACTCTACAGTGGTTAAACCCAACTATGCCAGCTGGGATCTACCATTTGTCCATATTTACAGAGTTGCATGCATTTATATCGAGTGTTGATTTTTGAAAGCAGGGTGTGTTTATAAATAATGTTGTCACACAGATACACATACTGACACACATGCAGATACACAGATATACAGATACAAACACTGACACACATACTGATATACATATTAACAACATAGTTGTTATACAGACACATATACACACACTGATAAACAAGCAGACACACATGCTGGTCAAAATTTACAACCATTTAGCCACCCTCCAGTTTCCTGCCTTTTGGTTTTAAGAGGATGGCTTCCTTTTTCTTTCCCTTTATGAGCTTTTCCAACATTTTTCTTTCAATCCTAAAAACCTCACTTCCTCATACCTCCCTCATTATTCCTCCTCCAGTTACTCACAACTAACTCTATTATTCTTATACTCTTCACCTTACACCTTGCCGTCCAGCACTCTCCATTTCCATTTTTCAATTTAGTTTCAATTATGTGTATGGTGTTTACACCTCTATCCCTACATTTGTCAAGTGCTCAATATGATAGTGGAAATATTCGATAATAGGAAATTTAAAAAAAAGAGAATTAACTGAAACATCTCACCACATATTCATCAATAAATTGTCGGAGGTCTTTGTAGCCATAATTTTCTGCAATCTTGTTTGGGTAGTCACCATGCTTATTTGCCACACTATAGGCCTGCAGGGCTCCAGGACATGTAAGCAGAAGTGCCGTTAAGTTTTTCAATCCATATTTTGCAGAGAAATGTAGAAGGGTTGGTAATTCTTCATCTCTTTGGTCTATGAAATAAAAAAAAAAATCATCATTTTAGCAAATGAGTTAAATAACTTTCCCAGAGAAGGGTGGCACTACGAACTGAGTCCCTCAAATGTAGGATATGGATATTCTGGAATTACACATATATATTAATGTGCATTTCAAAAGCGCCCTTACCATGTCCAGCAAGTTGAAATGTATTTTTGGCAAACACAAAAGTCCAGACTCTTTCCTACAGGTCCACTGCTGGAACCACGATCAGTAGAGCCTAAAAGACTCTATGCATTGTCATTAATTAATTCTTGGACAACAGCTAAAGTATCATCTGGCTAAAGTAGGGGCTTATGTGTCCATCACTTGTGAATAAAGACTAAAATTGACAACAGATGTATTAATCACAACCCCAATGGCAAACCTTGTGGCTCAATTTTGAATGATGGGATAAAAGCTATTTTTTATTAATGTTATGCTTTCACTCATACAAACAGTGAGCCATGAGCAGGGCCAGATTAAAAGCCCAGTGGGCCTGGTGCTGACAATTATGATGGGCCTAGTTACACATTTTTTTGACCAAAAATACTAAATCAGTCCTACCTCCTAAGCGTCATGTATCTGATGGAGATGGTGCTGGAGGGAAACTCATAGGATGCAGCTATGAGAAAACACATACCAATGTTTTCATCTTTCAAGTAAACCCATACCCCCTAACAGCAGTGTCCAGTAAAGCAGGAAGTCTATGGACGGGTCACTGACACAAATCACATAACCAGAACTGCCAAAAGAGGCAAACATACACAAAAAGGGGGCATGTCTGTGTCCCCATGTCTCCCAGTCCCTTAGTGTCTGTGTCCCCATGTCTCCCAATGCCCCTATGTCACTAGGACACTAGGGGACATTGAGAGACATTGGGCACTGAGAGACCTGGGGACACTGAGACTCTTGGGGAAACTGGGAGACATGGGGACACTGGGTAACTTTGAGACATGAGAGGACACTGGGAGACATGGGGCACTGAGACACTGTGATACATAGGGGACACTGATATATAGGGGACACTGGAGACTTGATAAAGACCTGGGTACAGGTCAAAATGTTGTGGTGTTCAATAAACCCGCTTAAATCTATCACAGTGAGTGCCTGAGATTTTTTTCTTTTATACTAGGGGACACTGAGACACTTGGGGGCGCTGTGAGACATGGGGACACTGGGAGACTAGGGGACACTAAGGACACTGAAACATACCAGGGATACTGGGAGACATGGGGCACTGAGACACTCTGATACACAGGGGACACTGTGATACATAAGGCACACTGGAGACTTGATAAAGACCTGGTTACAGGTTGAAACGTTGCAGTGTCCAATAAACCTGCTTAAATCTATCACCGCGTAATAATAACTACCTATTTCCAGAGCTAAAAGACTCTGAATGTCGGTGTTAGCTGGAAAGGAACAGAAGATGAGGAAATGTATGCTCTTTGATAGAACGCTGTACACCACTTATATTAATGGTCAGATAGCAAATCCAAAGCCAACTGGCTATACCTCTACCTACTCAGAAAAATAGATGATATATGCAGAAATAGATAAAGAATATAAAGTCGTCCAATTGTCCTAATCTCTGACTTTATTGAGTGAGGTCTCTATCAGGAGTTGGATTTTCTTATATCACACTGAGTAGGTGTCCAGAATACAGGGAGCAGATGGCTGATGTCATTGATTCTACAATATCGTAATATAGAACTAGTAGAAGGTTGTTTGTAATTACAAATTGTTGCAATTTGACACCATGAGACACTGGGAGAGACATGGGGACATGGAGAGACATGGGGACATGGAGAGACTAGGGACACTGAGAGACACATGGGGACACTGGGAGACCTGGGTCCCCATGTTCCCCAGTGTCCCTATGTCTCCCAATGTCTCAGTGTCCACATGTCTCGCAGGCTCGTAGCTGCTGTCTGGACTCTCTGTGCAGAGCTGCTCCCCCGCGGATCAGTGAGTAAAGAGAGGCAGATGCTGTAACTTCTTATCCCTGTATCTCTCCACACAAACAGCGACCCCTACTGGCTGGCGCTGGTATTGCAGAATAATATCTGTTTATATTGAGATAGACATTTGTATTGCCGGTATTACTGCAATACCGGCACCGGCTAGGCAGCCTCAAATACCTGATAAATACTTCTGAGAAATACCTGGCAACCATAAGAAATACCTGGCAACCCCAATAGTAGTGTGTGTAAAAAAAATAAAAAATGTAAAAAAAAAAAAATCTTTTTTTTTTTTTTTTAAATCAATGGGCCTATTCCATGGGCCTGGGCCTGGAGCTGCAGCTCCATCAGCCCCTATGTTAATCCGGCCCTGGCCATGAGAATCATATGTTGATATCAATATCCCTCTATTTATATTAGGTTACAACTCAATGATACTAAATGTTAAGTTTTGAACTATATCTATTGTACTTGTTTTTATTTACCGGTACTTTGCAATTTGTAATGACTCAAGTGTTCAATCCAGGAAACCAGTAGTAACGCACAGATGATGCAACTAGTGATACCTATATTGTTCCCATATATTCCTCTCTTCCAAGCAGTACTTCAAAAGATTCAGATGAGACTAAGATGTTTTTGTGTTTTTTTTTGCTGTTTGTTTTTTACAAGAAAAATGTATACGATAATAACTTTGGAGGGGAAATGAAGTAGGCTTTTACTAAAGATCCATCAAGAAGGAAATTAGGAATTTAACTTTGATTAAAAACAGCCATTAACAGATCTACTTTCTTTAAAAAAAATTAGTTACAAAATGTCCTGACGTTGGCTTGTTTTACCACTTGGAGTCACTTATAATGACTTACTTGCACTTAGATTATCTTCTTCTATCTGGTTTATTCCAAAGAGGTGTAGTCCACTGGCTGGAAT